CCCCACAAGACTGGTGGTGGAGCAAGCTCCACCTAACGGCCCCAGCCAGCCGGGCGATTGGAGTCAGGGCCGCCTACTCCTACCGGAGATTAGGCCCATCGGCCCTGTGGAAGTCGCCGGGCTCCCCTGCAGTGGAGGGTCTTTTGACCCTCTCTAGCAACCGCGGGGCTGCAGCCCACCGCGGTCCGGTTTTCTGTGGGGGGTTTCCTTCCCCGTTGCCGCCGTTCACCAGCGATCCTCAGGTAGGGGCCTCTTTTTCGGCCGAAATCGAAAGGTACTGCCGCCGAGCCTTCATCGGATCGCCGGTACCCCTCCACCACGATAAGGAGGGGGCAGGAGGGAAACCAGTCTGACTGACCTGCCAGGGGTTCCTGCGTACAGTTCTTGAACAAAAAAAAAAAATTACGAGCAGATTCCTCAGGCTTGAGGAAACGAATTTTGGTCGGCATAGTTTTGCCGTTACCGCGAGAAACCACGTGGAAGTATCCGCTTGTGCGATTTGGAAACACAGCTCTGCCATCGTAGCGTTCGCCGTACGACTCGCACCACTGTTATTACGACAATAGGGCCGTAAAAGTTTGAAAATCGTATGTGTAAATGGCTCTCAAATAAATAAATACGTAATAAATACTGCGACGCTTTTCCTTGTTGAGTGTGCCGACAAATTACCGCGACTCCCGAACTTTGACTCGAAATCACGAACGCGAAGTTGGGCGCCAGGTGCGGTAAGGCCGCACCTCCTCACAAACTATGTTCGCCAAAACCGGCATTAATTCAAAACCGGGAAATCGGGAGTCTACGGGACCGGTAGCTCACCTTAAATTTAAGTCGGAGATGGGAGTGGTTGGTAGAGAGGAAAAGGAATAGGCCAAAAGAGAACATCGGGAACTGAATGATAATATGATAATTAAGTTTATTCGATATGGACTCACACGTTCCGACAAATACCCGCAATCACTCCGCTGGATACATTAACAATATGGTATCCACGGATCTTGCGAGACGCTCGATATTACTTCGATAACGACTGGTTAGCACCGATGAACATTTTCTCGGCCACTCCTCATTAGGGACGGTACAACGGCAGGCATGCGACGAGTGGTTGGTCTTATAGAATTTCGACGCACAACTCTTGCCAGGACCCTCTTCGAGATCCTCCGACATCCTCGCTCTGGTTCACCCGGTGACGCAAGATCACGATTCCTCCTTGCAGGTACCGGTAACGGCTAGTATTACTGGCTACTCGGATCGGGACTCTTGCCAG